GCTGCACAGAATGCTTTGAACTCTGATTTGTCATACTCTCCTCCATTTTCAGACCTTAGGCATTTGACTTTCAAACCGGTCTGATTCTCAACTTCAGCTTTCCACTTCTTGAAAGTTGCAAACACATCTGACTTATGCTTTAAGAAGTAAACCCATACCTTCCTGCTGAAATCATCAATGAAGGTAACATAGAATCTGGATCCTCCAAGTGATGATACTGGAGATGGTCCCCAAACATCTGTATGGACCATTTCCAACCGCACTTTCTTTGGCTCTCTAGGAGTCTTTGTGAAGCTTACTCTTTTCTGCCCATAACACAGCTCTCGCAAAGACCCATATCAACAGACTTCAGACCCTCTAATTCTCCTTTTGCGACCAACATCTTCATTCCTTTAGTACTCATGTGTCCAAGTATGTTGTGCCATAGACATGAGCCGGAAGCACCTTCAGCAACAGCGGCCATGTTTATACACCCTGCAGTGGTGTACAAGGTCCCAGATTTGGTGCCACGAGCTATTACCATGTCACCCTTCACGATCTTCCATGAACCTTTCCCAACCTCTGCTGCATATCCCGTGCTATCCAACTGACCAACAAAGATCAGATTTTTCTTGATCCCAGGAATATATCTGACATCCTCCAATGTCCACTGGTTTCTCGAGGTGGTCTTTATGCAAACATCCCCCTTTCCTTCAATCTCTAAAGATTTATTGTCAGCAAGATATACTTTTCCAAAATTTCCAGATTTGATGTTTTGGAACAACTCCTTGCTTGGAGACGAATGGAAAGATGCACCAAAATCCAAAATCCATGATTCAACCGGGCTGTTCACACTAAGGATTAGAGCATCCCCAATGTCCTCTGCTGAATTTATAGAATCATTGTCATATTCAAATTTCTGATTCTGTTTCTTCTTTGGCTTTGTACAGTTCGTCCGAAAGTGCCCTTTTCTCCACAGTTCCAACAAGTCACGTTTGATCTTTTTAGAGATTTTCCTCTATTCTTTGATTTTGATCGACCATGTTGATTTTGGCCTTTCGTATTACTTCTCCCCCTTCGATCAACGCTGAGAACACTGCCCGATGAATCTCCCACTTCTCGTTTGCGAATACTTTCGGTAAGAACAACATCACGGATTTCATCAAACTTCAGTTTCTCAGATCCACGGGAACTGCTAATCGCAGCAACAACAGTATCCCAAGACTCGGGCAGAGATGACATCAAAATCAACGGCTTAATTTTATCTTCGAAATTAATATCCACAGAATTGAGTTGACTCACAATCATAATGAACTCGTTTATTTGATCAGAAAGGGATCCATTCTCAGACATCTGTAAATTGAACAATCTATGCATCAAATATACCTTGTTCATAGCCGACGGTTTTTCATACATGTTTGACAGTGCCTTCAATAGACCGGACGTAGTCTTCTCCTTCACGATGTTGAACGCCATTGACAAAGTCAACCGGATCAACCCTAGAGCCTGGCGATCCTTGAGTTTTCACTTCTCCTCCGTCATGGATTCCGGCTTCACCCCGGTCAACGGTTCCTGAAGATCTTTCTGGTACAGATAATCTTTGATCTGCATCTTCCAGAAACTGAAATCGGGTCCATCAAATTTCTCGATTCCAAGCTTCGAACTATCCATCTTCTGTGATCGTGTTGATTCTCGTTAGCTCTGATACCAGTTGTTAGGATCGAATTCATGCACACACACACTAGATGAATGAAGAACACAAGAACTTTCAAGAGAAAGAGATGAGAGATCTCGAGAGAGAAAGAGAAAACCCAATATTTCGTGGTAACACCCCGTGAGTAAACTTCCACGCTGGTGAGGTATATTTATATTAATAAATCAGAGTATTTTTGGTTGCAGAGAGTAAATAGGAAAACCTAAAATAGAGAATAAATAGGAAAACCTAAAATTAATCAGGCTCCACTACCTAACACCACTTTTATAATGAGAGACATATCAGCTCCAAATGAAAAAGGTTGAGTTATTTTATCAAACCCTTTTCCATTAAAAGAAATAAGTAAAAAAAAGAAAAGAAAAATTAGACATGTAATTAGGAATATATGAGTAAGTATTTAGTGCCCGTTTGAATTGACTTATTTTAAGTAATTTAAGCTGAAATAACTCTTAAAGCAGTTTTGAAATGGTTGGATAAAGTTAAAAAGTGCTTATAAGTATGTTTTTTAAAGCCAAAAACCATAAGTTAGAAATTCTAACTTATGACTTTTGAGTTATAAGTCATAAGTCAATCCAAACATACACTTAATATTGTGAATAAAACCTAAAAAAAATTATTTTTGAACAAGGGACAAGTAAAATTGAACGTTAATGTACTCTTTTTTACCTTAGCCAAATAAATTTGGAACTTGTTGTTTCAAGTGGAAGAAGAGGACATCCAATATTGTGGAAGTTGCGGGTTGGTAATTGTCAGATCTGGGGAAAATTAAGTGGTTCCCGGCTCTACTTAACGCTGGGAAATCAGTGAATATGGTTGGGGCAAAAATCGTGATTGTATTTGATTTTGGTCGGACCCTCATTGCCGAAGACAACGATCGATGGGTCGTGGAGAATATGGGTCTAACCCATTTGTTCAACCAGCTCTGACCAACTTTACCTTGGAATGCTCTCATGGTTTATATTTGCGTGTTTTCATTAACAGTATTGGTATTTTGATTTGTTATCGCAGAATTTTGTTTTCTATTTTCTGATTCAACTGTGGGTGGGTGGTATTTAGGATAGGATGATGGAGGAGCTACATTCAGAGAATAAAACTGTTGAGCAGATAACTGAATGTTTGAAGGATGTTTTGTTGCATCCTCACACAATTTCAGCCATACAATCAACTCATGATCTTGGGCATGTATTTCTTCTAAATAAATAAATTGTGAATGAAAATTTTCTATTTTGTAATTTTTATTTGGGGGCTTATTTCAGATGTGACTTAAAAGTAGTTAGTGATGCGAATGAGTTTTATATTGAGACTATATTGAAACATCACGGATTAGAGAGATATTTCTCGAAGGTGATTACTAACCCAATATCAGTAGATGGAGAAGGTATATTGAGGATCTTTCCATACCATATGGCGTCTTGTAATCTATGCCCTCCTAACTTATGCAAGGTATCCATTTTCTCATTCTCTGAAACTAATTACTCATCCCAATAACTAGTCTAGATATCTCCCATGCATAAACTGTCCTGTAACAACTCTGGTTACCATTTGTGAAGGTTATATTGATGAAATTATACATAAAATTTTACAAGTACAAAGCTTTATGGTTGCGTCTTTCTCCTTGACCATGTCTCATAGGATTCTTAAAATGATCTAAAGACATACTTCCATTGCCTCCCATGACATTTTCATGTGATTCTTACCATTAATTAGTAAAATTTTGCTCCTAATGATGCATTGCTACAAGTAGCAAATATCTAAAATATGAGCTGCCTAGGGTCTTGTTATTGAGCAGATCCAAGCTTCCTTGAGTGAGAAAGGGAAATCAAGATTCATATATCTTGGAGATGGGAGAGGTGATTACTTCCCAACGTTGAAGCTCAATAAAGGAGACCATGTAATGCCAAGGAAGGGCTTTCCATTGTCGAATCACCTGCTAAGTGATCCAAATCTTTTGAAAGCAGACTCTCATGAATGGAGCAATGGGCAAGAACTTGAAAGCATCCTACTCCAGCTTATTGAAAAAATATACAAGGAATAGAACATTTGAATTGTCATTGTATATTTCCCTCCAACATTTTCCAGGTTGAGGCTAGCCAGTAGGTTCGTGCACTAAATTGGTATATGTTCATTTAAGCTTTATAAGTGGTTTTGGTCTATTGAAGCACTGTGCTTCAAGGCTCAAGTTGGGGTTGGCGCTTCAGTCTGAATGATAACAGTACCACAACAATTGTGCCTTGGTTCCAAACAAATCCATGTTATGAATTTTAATTGACCATGCTAATTCATTTAAACTCATGCTAGTATAATATACGTGTTTTGTACGTGTGTATTGTTAGGGCTAACAATTTTAGTTCATATAAGTGAAATGAAACCATTTTGTCCATATTAAATTAAATGGATCACTCATATTCTCTTTTTTCTTTTCTTAATGGATTAATATGATCTCAACCTATTTAAGCTCATACAAATATGAACAAAAATGAGTTACATGAGAATCCACATTCATTTCATATAAGTGAGGAATGGAACAATTTTTTTTTGTTTTTGGAAAACAAAAAAAATTGGGGGAAGGGGATAATTTTGTTTTTTTTATTAAAAAAAACAGATTTTTTGTTTTAGGTAAACAAAAAAAAAATTAAGTGTAGGTTGGTGGAAGGTGGGGGGAGGGGGGGTGGCCGGGGATGGGGGTAATTTTTTTATTTTTTGAATTTTTTTTGTGTTTTTTTAGGGGTAGGTTGGTGAAGGAAGGGGTTAAATTTTTTTTTTCGAAAATAAAAATTTTTAGGGTAGGTTGGTGGAAGGTCGGGGCGGGGAGAGGGGGTGCCTATAGGGAGGGATAATTTTTTTTTTTGAAAAATAAATTTACTTAAATGGATAAGAACCATTTTATCTAAGCTATATTTGTCCATATTATATTTGGACATTTAGATGGATTGTAATCAAAATCACTTTTTCTCAATCCATCTTAATCTAATCCAATTCAACCGTTTGTCACCGATGTATATTGTGTTTAGTCATAACAAATATTGCAACTCATTCTCAGCTTTATTTTGTTTGTTGCAATTTACAACTCATTACTTTTCGGTTAATACTTTTATGTTTAAAAACATATACCAAATTTGATCCATAAAAATTTACCCCATGTATCTATCTCAAGTTAATATTTCCTTCCTAAGGAAAATCATGACAAAAACTTAATTTACTTTCTAATTATTTTCAAAGAAGAAGGAGAAGATTGCTATAACTTGTAATTAGTTTTAAAGTTTTAAATGTTAAGGGTTTTTAGTATAACTAAAACTAATATATATGCTCGCAGTATGCGTGTATCATATTAAAAATTATTAATCACATTTATTGTTATACTAGACATAATATGCCCGTGCTGACACCAGCCCAACAAATTAAAAACAGATACATTAGTACAATTGATTTTAGCTGTTGAATCTCAAGCGGAACAGCTTAAAATTGGAAAAATATAAATAAAAATAGAAATTTAGTAATATACACAAGATTCTTGGATCATTGAATTTCTCAGACTGATTGCAAGTTACAAGTAACAGCTCGCGTGTATCAATACCATTTCATGCCAGAATACAACGCTGTAACCTGCAAATACAGAAACATTGATTAGTAAAACATAGCCAAAGAGCACAAATAAATTTACGCTTTTCATGGTTCATATAAATATATATATATAAAATAAGATCTCAAATCAGTTTTACATGTTCATATTCAATAATTCCTAACTTTTCATTAGGCTACAACACGAAATAACAACAATCTCTAGAGATTTATGGAGGAGGAGAGCTTGAATTTCAACAGTGTTGCATTCGCATACAATGGATATAGGAGCAGAAAATCTCAAATGAAGATATACATAAAAAAGAGTAATAAATATTTCATTTTTCATGTTCTTTGAGAGAAAAGACCTCCACAGAAAATCAATATTGCGAGAGAAGTTACCTGTAATGATGGTGGCAGGAGCAAGTAGTGGCAATTCTTCAAGGAAAATTTGAACCAAGTAATATTGGCCAGCCCTTCAGATTTATGGTTGAGTTGGATGTTTCCTATAAGTGGAAAAAAATCCCAAAACGAAAAATTATACATCAACTTTGATGCATCTGAAAATAGTAGCATTGAAAAATAGATATGAGAACTTCTGGGGAAAAAACCTAAAAAGGAAGATACAATCAGTAATCACAACAAAAAAATTAAAGGTTTTGCAGAAAATCTCAAAAAAATCATGTATTAAATGAAGATCGAGAAATGCATAAAAAATGAAAGACGATGATTTGAGAAGATAATGAAAGTTGCAAGTGTTCTTTAGAAATTAAAAAAAATTATAAGAGTTGCGGAATTCTTCTCAACGTAGACATAAAGTAGTATAAAACATGCAACACAAATATGGTAATTGCAAAATTATAATCATCATATTTGTCCTAAAAGAAGATCTCAATAGATCTACGGGACAAGAACTATAGAAAGAATGACAGTTGGAAATGGAAAGTGGAAGCTAGGTATTGTGGTTATATTGGTGGGGCATTAAACTACAGGATGATAGAGGAATGTAACGATCCAGAAAAATAAATAAATAAATAAAATAATGAGTACTTAAGGTAATTTAATTATTAATTAAAAATCTGAAATTTTAACGGCATAATGGTCTTTTCGCGCATTAATTAAAATAAAACCAAATTTGTATTAATTTAATTTAAATTCTATTTGACTAAGTTTTGAATTTAGTCTCCTAATCCTATTAGTTTTCTCTCTCTCACGCTTCTTAACTCTCTCTCTCTCTCTCTCTCTCACGTTCTCCATCTTTCTCACGTTATTCTGCCAAGCACAACAAAAACAAGAGATTATATCAACAGTTCTTCAGGCTTGAAGAACTCACATGAAATTTTAAGAAAAAAAAAGCAACAAAAAACATTAAGGCGAAGAGAAGTTGTTCGTTGAGTGGTGTGGACGTTGAGGTAACTTGGACTGATTTTTGAAGAGAGTTTTGGGTAGAAAATTCTTCATTTGAACATCAATAAAGGTATGGGTTTCTTCTCTCTTGGTTCCTTTCCCAAGAGGCCCCTTACGATTCAAACTATTCATCTCGAAACTAAGGTTGTTCCCTGTTGCTTGCCCTTGTCACTAGCTCCCTATGATCTTAGGTTGGGTATTCTTGTTGGTAGAATTTAGGGATACTTGTTTGTGGTGATGATCTCGTTTCGAGTATGTGTCCATGACTATGTATCTATAATTTGTGTCTTATGGGAATATGAAAGTAAATATGTATGTATTTGTGCAAGATTTTGATCATGACTTTGAGTTTTTCTTTAGCATGTTAATAGTATAGAGATTATTCGTGTTTTATGTGCAATTAGAGGCTCTTAAAAACCATGATATTCACATGATTGAAAATGCTAGAAATTCTAGTTAAAACATATGATCAAATCATCCCTCTAAACTTGCTTAAGAACCTTAACAAATGTACAAAAAAAAATGCTAAATTAACCCGTAAAAATGATGCACAAAATTGTGGAGTAATTTTCCAGAATCTGGAGATAAGTTGTAGATGAATTCTGGAAATTTTGAACAAAAAAAGAATAAAAAATAAATAGGTGAGGTCTGCAGGGATCGAACCCGAGACCTCACCAAAACATGCCTTAATAAAATAAATAAAGAGGAGTGCTGAAGGCGGGGCTCGAACCAGGGACAGGGGGCTGGTGAAATTCGCAAAGAGAAAAAGAATGCGGTAGGGGGGAGTTGAACTCGCAACCTAGGGGGAGGAAAAGGAGAAAAATAAAGTAAATAAATAAATGGGAGGCGTGGGGTTCGAACCCACGACCTCCCAGTACGCTCGAGGAAGGAAAAAAAATAAAATTGAAGTTGCAAGGCGTGGGGATCGAACCCACGACCTCAGTGCTGAAGGGGGGGGTCCGAAATATTAAGGAAATAAAGTGAGGTTGTGGGGATTCGATCCCACAATCTCACTGCCACTCGCCCTTATTATATAAAAATAAAGATGGAGGGGCTGTGGGGGTTCGAGCCCACCACCTCACAGTCCCCCCTCAGCGAAATTGAAACAAAAATAAGGGGGGTTGTGGGGGTTCGGACCCACAACCTCCCCATAATAGTGAATTTAATTAAATTAAAAAGTTAAGAGGTTGTGGGGGCTTGAACCCCCAACCCTTCGGTTAATTAATAGTAAAATTTAAAATAGAAAATTTATCCCTTCATGTAAATATTGAGATTTAATTTAGAATTCTTATTAAAATAGAAAATTTATTTCTTTCATGTAAATGTTGAGATTTAGTTTAGAATTCTAATTAAAATAGAAAATTATTTCTTTCATGTAAATATGGAGATTTAATTTAGAATTCTAATTAAAATAGAAAATTAATTCTTTTATGTAAATATTGAGATTTAATTTAGAATTCTAATTAAAATAGAAAATTTATTTCCTTAGAATCCCAATTAAAATAGAAAATTAATTATTTTATGAAAATGTCGAGATTTAATTTAAAAAATTCTAATGTTATGAGTATTAGAAATAAAATAAACGAAAAATATAAATGATATCCAAGTGATTCAAAATTTAGGTTCCCGTGCCCAAACCTCCATATTGATACATAAGTTATACGTAAGTAAAATATTCAAGAATAATGCCATCTACTTAGATCAACAATCAAGATTTTGACATATATGCAAGATACATAAGTCTTGCAATACATAATCTTATGAAAGTAAGAATCACTTAGCGGACTATGAATGAAGCCCAATGGCTTGTTTGTATAGACACATAAGTCTAACATACCTTCAAAAATTAAATGAACCTAAGATGTACGTAATGAAATGATGAATCTTAGGAGGGTTAAGTACGAATGTAAGATACGCTAAATGGCCAAGTGCATTGGCATATGATGAGATGAATAATGAAATGAAGAAATGAACATTCACGTAATAAGAGGTGAGTAAATATGAAAAAACAAAGGTGCCAATAATGAAGAATGTGGTGACAATCATGATGTGAGGCTAATGTATATGATGAGAACAATCTCAAATGAGCCTAAGTAAAATGTTACCAATACGTACTCACCAATGAGAGTGTAAGATAATGAAGAGATCAGTCTCTATGAACACTTTAATGAAAATATTGAATTTAAAACACTTAATACTAATGATGAGATGAGAAATCATCTATTGAGCTATGATGTCCTCATACTAGAAGCCATTTTCCATGATGTATGAGTTGAATGCAATGGAACTTTATACCAACACCGATAGGCTAGCTATGAGCGGTGATGCCTTCTTTCGGAAAGAGTAGAGGTTTACGTAACTCTCATGAGATGAGACTGTCCGGCTTGCTGAGTATGGGTCTCCATACATCTCCTAGTCTTTGAACCTATATTGCCACTATAGGAATCTGGCGGGGTTAAATTCCCATATACGCTAGCATGTTATTGATTCACTTTGGTCGGTGATTCCACCTCTTTTCGGTGTGGGGGAGACAATGGATTTCATTATGCTCACATGATCTATGTCGGTTAAAGTTAAGGTTCCCAATGAATGAATGAGGCCAATCTCAAATGAATCATATAAAGAAATGGATGATACCGAAGGTGTTAGGATAGGATAATCAAGAGGTGAGCTAGATTCAGGTAATGAAAATAGGTTATTCCTGATCATTGTACAGCAAACCTGATGAAAGTCTTAAACTACATCCTAGGTATAGCTGGTGTTCACACTGGCTTATGAATGAACTGAAATGAGGTACGCATGAATGAATGAAGCAGACTTTATGTTTGCTAAAGAAGGCTCCCTAGTTGAGGTCCCATATGTTGAGCCCTCATTTTGGAATATCTTAATGTCAAGTCCATGATAACAAGGTCTCATGGCATATGAATGAATAATATGAAAGAAACTATGTGTTATATGTTATATGCTATATGAAGATGTTATGTGTTGTGTGTAGTACGATAATTATAATGATGCATGTCACTCTCATGGTATAACTTTCCCAATCTCAAATTGGCAAGTCCACTGACTTGACTTCCAAAAATCATGTTTTTTGGAAAGAGAGATTCTTTCTCATGCATGTCCCTGGTGTGTGCTTGCATATACCCATACTTAGTACAAATGTGTACTAATTCCATACAAACATCTACTTTACATGCAGGCACAGGTGGGCGGTATAGCTACAGGTTCGTTGTTGCAGCTATTCGGACGTCAGCATTCATCCAGAGTTTGGTAGGTCCTCATGCTTTCGAGGATTCTACTGTTTTACATTCTAGCTTAGTTTTAGAGTTGAGCTAGTGGAGCATGTTCCACTAGTGTTTCTTTCCTATTTTGGCTCAGACTTTGTATTGGTGCTACTTTGACCGATATACAATTAATACTTAATGAATTATTTCTGTTAGTTGCTTATCTCTTAAATGTTAGGTGGTTGATGATGAACGATTATGAAATATAAAGAATGTTTAGCAAGTATGATTAAAGAATCAAAAATTTTATTTTTTTTGCTAAATTAACTTACGTAAAGTAAGAATGACGTAAGTAGGCTTGTTTGCGACCTCTGAGAGGTCAACGATGCCGGTCTCATATGGGGGTATAGGTTCTGATCGTGACAAGGAAGAAGGTGAGTTAAAGATCAAGAAATATACCTAGAGTTTTCTAAAGTAATGATGCTAATTTTTTATTAATAAGGTTGTTCGATTTGATAAGTAAGCCTCAACCTCTAGCTACTCCCTCTGTTTAATTTTAGTAGATTTTTAGATCAAAAATAAATATTCCATCGTTCAATTTAGCAAAAGTTAGAATAGTAATCTAAGCTAGGAGTGGATCCTTTTAAAGTTTAAGTAGTTCACTTAAGGAAGCATGAATATAAGTGAAAGAAGTAAAGCGAAGAATCTAAGTGACAACAATCAAAGAAAGCCGAAGAACAGGACAAACAAAAGGGAAGGAAATTCAACGCATGAATAATCACAATATGGTACAGGAATAATGATAAGTAGCTAGTGTAATGATAGTAGACAAACATTTGAAATATACTATTAAAATTGGTAGAACAACTTCATTATTTTTCTAGATACTCATCTCTAAATCTCAAAAGAAGTCAGTGATCTAACTTTAAATAATTGGCAACAGAAGGATGCATTACCTATGAAGTATTAAATTAATCATTTCCTTCTTGATTTTATGCCTATCCTTCCCGCAGACTTGTATTAATAAGCTGAACTCATATCTACGTTCTACTTGTTTGTAGATCACTCCCTCTACCAAGAGGTAAAACCTTCTATCCTTATTTATGTCAATGTACATCCCAAAAACAGCTTTTGATACTTATCAGATTCAAACTCTATCGAGCCATACAACTAAATTTAAATCAAAGCTTTATAAATTTATTCAGACAAATCTAGAAAAAGGCGGTAGCAAATTGAACATAAAAAGAAAATTGAGGGAAAAACATATGAAGATATGCGAAATCTACAGGCAAATGTAGAGACGTGCATGAGAAAAATTGAGCGTCAAAAGATAGTGGAGGAAAAACAGAAAACTATGAAATCAAATCTGAAAAACCAAGAGCAAAACAGAGAGATGACAAAGAGTTACCCTTGAAATTGCAAAAGCCAACATGATCACTCTAAATAAACTGAGTCGCACATATTATCAAACAGGTTGGGTGCATAAAATTAACAACATACCCTTGATTATAGGATTCCTTCTGCACAATCAACTTGGATAATTTTATCCCAAAATTAAGCGGAATACAGAATAAACAGTGTGTCAACTTTGTCGAATCAGAGGTCTATGGCAAGTATATGATAATATTACGAAAATTATGGCAAAACAATCCCACATAATATAGATACGAAAAAACAACAATTATCTTGAAAAATACAAAAAGAGGCAAAATCCCTGAAAAAGTTCACCATTATTGTTGGGGAGCTCCAATTTCCGCCCCAAACTCTTCTTGTCTAACACCAAAATAGTTGAGAAAATCAGAAAACAAAGATGCCTGACAAATTCTTGTTAACAAAAAAAAATAATTAACATTTGAACAAGATCTCAAGGTGTATTCTATGTCAATTGTCAAGTGAGGACAACTGGAAAACATAGCAATTGTTCTTTAAAGTTCTAAAGAGCAAAGAGAAGAAGAAATATATGTGGTGTCTGTAGATTTTAAAGAAACGTGGAATGAGAATTCTTTAAATTAAAAAGTAAGACTAATATACCATCTAATGTGAATTTAATTCCAAGAAACTGACAGGTTGATACCAGCTCCTTCACTCATACTTCTAATATAGGAGAATGACTTATATCAGTAAAAATCAGATCCTACTTGGTTATCAATCTCTCCCCTAAAAAACATGTTTTTTTTTGTCCATGCACGAAGAAAATATTTTGTTGCGAATGAACAAGATATTGAGAAATTGTTAATACATAAAATCCAAATCAGTAAATATCAAATCCTACTTGGTTATCAAAATCTTTATCATCATTTAATTATGTATCACAACATAATTAAATTTCCATGAAATTAAAAAACGAACACATGATCATTTAATTGCTTGTAGTATACAAATTAATGATTGTATTAAAAACACTTCTAAACTTGATGTAAATTATAATTTTAGTCCCGCGACTAATAACAGTCTTACAAACACTCCTATACTTGATTAAGTAATTTAAAAACACCCCTCTTATGCCACATATTATCCACTGTCATATCCCTATTTTTTCCAAAAAGTTTAAATGTTTTGAAATAGAAGAAAAATAATTTTTTCAATTAAAGTGATATTTTGAAAAGAAATAATTTTATCATTCAGAGTAGCCACTTGAAATCGAATTTTGATTTTTCAAGTCACCTTATTTAAATTCCTAATCAAAATGAAATTTAACTCTATTTTTATTGATCTGTGACCTAGAATTTTGGGTAAGGATTCTATTGACAGATGGAAATATAATAGGCACCCCTCGAGTCCCGTAATTCTAGCTCGATCACTTTATTGATTTTAGTATGACTTGACTTAATTTTTTGGATATTATATCATTTAACTTAATAACAAAAAAATATTTACCCTCATTCTTTGATTTATTTTAAGAATATTTAAAATTGTCGTATTTATTTTAAAATGTGTCCATTAATAAAAAATACGTGTAATCGTATAAATTTACTCAAGCAAAAATAGAATAAAGCTAAAATATGTACCCTTACGAATTTTAATGTGTGGATAATTTTGAGATTGTTTTTTAGTTAGCTTTAAAATAGGAAATAAAAAATTTATGAAATTTGGAATAAATGAATTATACCTCTTTTGAGAATATTTTTTCCCTTTTTATTTTTCTTCTCTTTTTTTATTCTTTCCTCTTTTTTCCCTTAACTTTATGGTCACAATTTCTTTTATAACATCTGTTTGTTTTTCATTATTTGTTTTAACAATTTTTTTTAAATGTATGTTTTTGCGCTTTTTTTTTGAAACTTTTCTTTTCTTCCTTTTTTTTTCAAATTGCATCTAAAAAAACATAATAGAATAATAAAAACAATAATAAAATATAATGCATCTTTAATTTACTTACTTATTTGTTTTTCCTTGTAAGAAGCGTTTCCGTTTACGTTTTCATAAGCATTTATCAATTCTCAAAATAACTCACAACATACATCACAAAAAATTATATTACAAAAAATGATATTATATAATAATTACTTGATGACGATGACGATGACGACGATGATGATGAGGATGACGAGGATGACGATGATAACGATGAGACGATGATGACGATGAGACGACAACGTCGATGACGATGATGACGGCGATGACGACGATGATGCGGATGATGATGATGACGACGATGACGATGATGACAATAATGACGATGATGACGATAATAATAACAACAACAACAACAACAACAACAACAGCAACAACAACATCAAGAAAAAAGTTCATATTATTGGAATCGAATTTTCTTACAAGCATTCCATTTAAATCATGCGAGAATTTAGAGTTACCTTGTCGTGAAAATTGATTCATTACAAAAACAATTGCTACAATCTACTGATTTCAAAAGTTAATATTTACTTTAAAGAGCTGCGAATTCATAACCTTGTACAAAAACCTCAGACGCTAACTTTATTCTCAAAATAAAAACTCACTTTTGTTATTTTTTTCTATGTGTTTTTTTCTATCCTCTTCTTCTATGTATCTATGTGTCTCCTTTTCTCTCTACTAAGCATGTGTTTTTATAATAATTTTTGGGTATGCCTGGTGCTAATTAAAAGGAAGGTGAGAGAGTTAGCAATTTAGTTTAAAATTTAGGATTGGATAAAGGAATAAAAATAAAATAAAAGTAATAATATAATATTAATTAAACAAAACAAAACAAAAAAACAAACAAAAAAAATCAAAAAGAAGAAGAGGAAAACATGGGTGGTGGGAAAAAATTGGAAAAAAAAATTATGCACTATAAAAGAAAATTGAATGGAAGGAGATTTTTAGAAAAAATAGGTTATGGGGAGTTTGAGGGTGATTAGGATAGAGGTAAGATACTTTGAAATTATTAGGATTCTTCTTTTTTATCTTTTTATTTTTATTTTTATAATATATATTATTATTTTAGACTGGTAAAAGTTGAAGGATTAACATTGAATTCACCAATTTTATTTATTAAAATTTAAATTTATATTTTGTTGTAATTTTCAGATTCTGTTTTTTAAAAAAAATTCATTTTAAATAAAAATCTATAATAATATTGAAGTATTAAAAATGGTGCAATGATTTTTATGTTTTGGTTAAAAATTAGGTGTTCACAGTATGCCTCATTTGCTTGGAAACATGAAGAGTTTTCATGCAAAAACGTGAAAAATGTGACTAATTTTTTACTATGACATTATCGAAAACATGAAAATGTGTAAAAGAGAAGAGTTTTGATTGCTCCATAACTTTAGACAAACTATCTATCTTGGGTAAATGATAAGGAGTCAGGTGTAGTTCATATATAGGAAGGGACGGGAGATAAGTTAGGTAGTCGAGTGAAGTTCTGTTAAGGCTCCGGTTCTTAGCTCCAACTATTACATTAAAAGAAAAAATACAATAGGAGAGAAAGGAAGGATCCACTAGTCCCGAGTTTTTATTTTAAATATTCTATTATCACTTCACCCCTTTTGGATAGAAATATCGATTTCAAACTTTGATCTTGATATTTGAATTAAAGATCTGAAACTTACAGTTTGACTTGGGTTGTTGACCCTCTTCCACATGATATTCTTCGATTCTTGTTTTCTTGAAAAAATGATTACTTATTCTTGAACATCAAATATGTGTACTACGTAAACGCATGCCATAATAACAAAACAAACAAGACGAAACAAAATTTTCTTCCCCAGTTTGCACTAGGAAAAATTTGTAAGTTATTGGTGAAAGTTGTAAAAGTCTATAATAGACATAGAAGTAATATTTCATACCCATTATATATATAAAATAAAATAAAAGAACAATTTGTGCACGAAAAATGCAATCAGAGGTTCTTATGTCCTGTGAGTACATGAAAAATAAGATAGAGGTTATTGTGCCCTAAATGCAACTAGGGGTTGTAGTGTCCTTTGAAGAGGTGAAATATAAAATAGGGGTTACTGTGCCCTATATACAAACAGGGGTTATTGTGCGATGTGAAAACATGGAAAAAGTAAAATAGGGATTATTGTGCCCCAAATGCAACCAGAAAAAATATTGTGCCATGTGAAGGCATGAAAAATAAAATAGGGGTTATTGTGCCCTATATGCAACTAGAGGTTATTGTGCTCTGTGAACTCGTGAAAAACAAAATAGGAGTTTTTTTTCCCTTTATGCAACTAGGGATTATTGTATCCTATGAAAACATGCAAAATAAAATAAAGGTTATTGCACCCTATATGCAACCAGGATTACTCTACCCTATGAAGACATGAAAAATAAAATAGAGGTTATTATGCCTATATGTAACCAAGATTATTGCACCCTCTGAAGACATATCAAATAAAATAGAGGTTATTGTGCCCTATATGCAACCAAGAGTTATAGTGCCATTTGAAAACATAAAATAAAATAGGAATTATTATGCCCTATACGCAATCAGAGATTATTGTGCCCTATGGAGACATGAAAAATAAAATAGGGGTTACTGTGACTTGTGAAGACTAGAAAAATAAAATAGGGGTTATTGTGCCTTGTGATGACAAGAAAAATAAAATAGGGGTTTATTGAGCCCTTTTTGCAACCAAGGGTTATCGTGCATACTTGTAATACTCCGGAAGTCTAAAGCCTAATCTAGAGCCTAACATGAGAGTCTAAGAATTATATCACTGTTTTATGTCAATTATAATGTATTTGAGTCATTTAGGAAGTGTTAGAATCAAAACGTCAAGAATCGTCCAGAAACTAGTTGAAGAGGTGCTAGTGTGGTTTAGCCAATTTGACTAAGTTTTAGGAGTCGGAAAATGATGAGTTTTGGTGGAAGGGTGTCTAACATGCATTATAGTTGGTTTATAGTCGAAACGTTTGGGTACGACTCCCCAAGTACCTACCAAGGGCCCTTGAGGAGGATCCTTGCATTTGGCAAAAAGCTGCGAAAAGGCAGTGTCCATCACGAGTGCAGGCAACGATCCATTGGTGAATCGATGGGGCGTCAATGCCTCCGTTGATGAAGACTTAGCCAAAATTTTTAAGGGGTCATTTTGGCAACTCTCTGACCAAATTGACGTACCAACAAGACGGTTGGTCCCTTTGGCCATCTATTGACAAATGGCGCATGAACGTGGCCTCGTCTGTCAAAGAGGCTATTTTGCTGCACGTTTTTGGTTAGTTACATTAGATTAATTAAAGGGTTATATAATTATTTAGGGGTTAAGGGAGACTCAATTAATTTAGATATTGACTCCTATAAAGTCCCCAAACCTAATTAGACTAAACCTAACCCTCATAATTCTCAAAACCCAATTTCTCCTTTCTTTGTCCCAAAAGAAACCCCATTGAAGACCAAGCAAAGGAAGGTTTATAGGGCTTAAAATGATCAAGTCTCTCAATCAAACTTCATATGTTATTACTTTCACCTTTAGGATCTCTTTACCCAAAGGGTTCCTCCAAATTAATTTCAAAAGTTGAGTTCTAAGTGAGTTTTCTTCCAATACGAAATTGATCTTGTGAATTGCTTTGTTTATGATTCCTTTTGGTTATAATGAGTATATTAA